AGCTATACTAAGCTAATTAGAATATTACAAAGACGAATTAAATTAGCTAAGCACATTAACTAATTAATTACAAAACTGGCAAATTAACTAGCTAAGTAAAGTGGTAAAATGGCCTCAAGGGCGAGGGAGAGATGCATGCTCGGTTTGCTTCCGCTCGGAAATGCACTGCCTTGCCATGAGTTGCCTCTGTTTGCACTCGCGGTGATCTCAGGACATCATACGGACTTCCAGGTTGCACCTGCTCCAAAATAGGAAGATTTTGGACAATTTTGCTACAGGTGGCCAGCCTGCCACCTCAACTAGTCGATAGGCTACCTCAACTGGCAGGCCGGCCAGTGTAAGTTGTCGGTCTGCTAGTGCAAGTGGCCGACCAGCCACCTCTCCTTCTAGAATTCCAATTTTGCTGCAACACAGAACAACAAAGCCACAACAATGCATTTGCAAGGAAATGTTTGTGCAACTACTCTCCTTATCATTTCTCAAGCTCAAAGGAGCGTAGTACTCGGCTCTCAAGCCACCAACCGCGCATCTCAATGCATGATGGCCGAAGAGTCAAGCTTGCATAATGTCAGTGAATGTACAAACAACACATAAGAGCCTCCACCTCTATCATGCATGGTCAAGAGGGTCGACGACCAAGAAATGTGACACGTTTCATCACTTGGAGTATGAAACGTCTCACATGTCTTGTGTTTGGATTAACGTCTGATCTAAACACAATGCAATGCAAACAACATGTGTTATCTTGGCATGTTTTACTTGGTTGATTTTGTTTACACATTTTAACATTACCGATTCATTCTTTAACCGGTTAAGTGTAATGTGAGTGTCCTCTAACGAGGAGAGGTCAACCAAAAAGGGGGGGTTTAAGGCATGAGAGGGATGATGCCTTTGACTAGGAGGAACCCTCAAAAGAGGGTTAAAGCCATTTGAGCACCAACCCTACCTCTTGTTTAAACACAACCTTAAGGCCAAACCAACCTCAAAGCAAATTGAAAAATAAAGAAATGGGGGAAGTTGCAGCTACTCAATGCTGATATGGCATGAAACACGAGACTCAAACATGCAAACAACACATGTATAACTTGTTAAGGGACTAAAACGATGAAACTAGTGAAGGACACAACACTAGAGACATGCAATACAATGCTCCATGGACCAAACCAGCCCTAAACAGACCTCGTGCATGCCAAAACAATGGCCAAAAAGTGCTAAGATGATAGCATAAAAAGGAAGAAAATGCATGCTAAACTTATGGCTCGCAAGTAAGATACAAAGCTCAACTCTCAAACACATTGAAAGAGTGATATATACAAGAGTATGACAGAGATATGAGCACTGAAATCACATGCCAAATGATGACGTATCATGCAAACATCACAAGTATAGCATGCATGAGCCTTAAACACAAAGCCAGTGAAGGCTAACTACACTATAGCTATACAAGGCAAGCCTCAAAGGACCAAGACCACTCAAAAGAGAGTTTAAGCATACTAAAACATTAGTAAAAACATGTTGAGATAGAGCTAATACATGGTAGAATGATGGACTAACTCTTTAGGCATTCAAGGCTATTAAGCAAGATTACACTACAAGTGTAAGAAGCGAGCAACCAATAACTAAACCAGCCTAAAATAGAGTTATAGAAGGTCCAAAAAGTCACAAAAACATGCTTGGACTAAGCTTCAAAAAGGGAGAAATACATGCTCATTTGGTAGGCCATCAACACATGCAAACAAGACATGAGGAGCGGGGACCACCCCCTCCCATTTTGGACCACAAAACCACCTTTCCACCACTGAAATTCCTCTGGAATTCAGTGGTTTAGAGTCCAAGAAAAGATGGTTTCAAAAGCTTTAAAAAGAAGGCTCAAAAGGCTTTGCAAGCCAAAGAGCAAAGAGAGGAAACCAGCCCTTAAGCAAACAAGGCTTAAACCACCATTTTAGGACCTCAAAATCAAAGTATTTTTTAGTTGAAAACCAGGCCAAAAACAATTTGAAATGGTGGAAAAACAAGCATGCAAAACAAGCTTAGAGAAGGTAAGTCTTATACTTTTGAAGCACAGCAGCACTTGGGCACAAAAGAGGCACCAAAGCAAGCTCAATCCTCCTTCTAGAACTCAAACAAGGTCCCAAGGAATCTCATCCCAATGGTGGTCAAGTTTGATCATTGATGTGTATGCAAAAGTATGGTGTATCTAAGCTTTCATGCACAAAAGGGCAAGAGAGAGTGAACTCTAGAGAGAGAGGCAGAGATTTTGCTCACAAAATTGTAGAGAGAGAGAGAGAGAGAGATTTTAGAGAGAGAGGCTCCCAAACTTGTTAACCTCTTCAAATGAGAGATATGGCTCCAATATATAGCAAAAATGGAGCATTTTTCGAAATATTTGAAGCTAGAAATATCTGGGGCAGTGTAAGACAGCTGGAGGAGAAATATCTGTCATTTCTGAGCTTTCTGGAAATTTCTGGCCAACCAACCACTTTTTGTGGCCAACAAGGATCATTTCTAGCTGGCATATGGCTGGCATGCTCCATTTGTGGCCGGCACACTCCCATAGGGGCCGGCAGCAAAAACTAGTCCCTGATCCCGACTTCAACCAAGCATAATTCCTTTATCTGGACTTCTTTTGTCACACCCCAAACTCAGCCCTAAAAGTTTGGGCATGACTAACTCGATAACGGATCCAGAATTCAATAAATATATATATAATATGGGGCCTGAACGGAAGCAACTATCAACTTAAATCAACATCTATTGAGCTAATGCTTATATGCTTGGATCACAAAACATTTCATCAAATAGCCCAACACACAATGAGCAAACACATAAGAGGCAGTTACACACAAACACATATATATATACAGTCCCATTCCCCACAACTTGGGTATAACTTAAACGTCGGGAGTGAAGGACATACATGATTAACAACATTTGACAAAAGGCTAGTGACCACAGTTATAAGCTATGAAAGGGACTCTGCAAAAAGAATGAGCTTTATTTAATTGCTTGGACACCGCGGAGGTTGACAAAAGAAAAGCTGCTAAGGCTAGACTAGGACTGACATCCGAGCTGAATACTTACAGAGACAGACATAACAAAGAGTGAGCAAGGCTCAGTGAATAATAGCATGGAGGTAATTTAAGTGAATAAACATGAATCACACAGTAGGTGAGTACATAAAACATATGTTCGTTCTTTTCCTGCTTTCATTTCCAAACGGCCTTGGGCCCAACATCATGAAGAACGGCCTCAGGCCCATCATATTATACAGAACGGCCTCAAGCCCAACAGATTAACAGTTGGTCAGAGCATTGGAGGGTTGGTATAACATCAACATGGACACTACCTCCCTTGGCCTTAGGCCATGAATCGTAATCAGTTCAAATCATATCAGAATCGATGAAACATCGGCATGTCATCACCTCTCTTAGCCTTAGGGCTACCATTAAGATGTAACTCATATCAGAATGGCCTCGGTCCCAGCATTGCCAAAACAAAACAACCTTAGGTCCATAAGGATTTTATTATGCAATGTCACACATACTTTCCAATTGTTCATCATTTTGGAACATGGTTCATTCATAGATAACAAGGTGCCAATAATATCGATTGGCAGTAATGAAACATATTACTACAATACTATTACTCACAGTGCTGTGGTGAAGCGGCGGTCCCTTCCTGTATGTGACCTACATACACATGCAGTTCAGAAATTAGTTCATTTTCCCTTTTAGTCAGCATCCAATTTGTTCGACATTCATATAATTATAGGCATTTTCAAAGCTTTAAATACACATTTTAACTATCCTAGAGGGTCAAACAGAAGAAGAGAAAGACACATATTTTTCTCCCATTGGACTGCACGTACGGCAGTCTCCTTCCGTACGTGTGGGAAGGTGGCCGCACGTGCTGTTATCCTCCCCCGCACGTGCTTTTATTTCAGTACCTAAACTTCGAATTCCCATGTTTCCTGCACGTGCGGTTGTGATCAACGCACGTGCGGTCGGAACCTCTATTTTGCACACTTCGAATCAAGGCTAATCACCGACTTGGTAAACACATTACAAGGCACAAAATAGGGAAATTATTGCAATACTATGGCTCAACACCATTGTAAACATGAATCACAAGTGTAGTTAAGTCAATCCTCTTCAATTACATTTAACAATTCAGTATTTTTATGTTCACGATCGTATTTGGGATAAAGCTACATATATGTATAACCATATGAGTTCAACATGGTACAAAATCAAAAACCAAGATGTAATTTCTCCATACAACTTCAATTAATTCGTAAAACAACCAAATGATAAGACTTTCTTTCCAATCAAACAATTTTCACACACACACAATCTCAATTACAAACCCTAATCATGTGAATACAAAAGAAATCTTTACTGAAGTCCAAGTGAGGGTTATTTTAGGTGGATTAAACTTACCTTGAGCTCGAATCACCAAAATGTTTCTTAATTCTTCAATGTTCCCTCTTGTTGAAGCTTCTCTTCTTGATCTCCCTCTCTAACTCTCTCTATCTCCTCTTAGGAGATATTTTTTATTTTGTGCTGAGTTTTCTAAGTTAGGAGCTTAAAAGAGGTATATAAGAGTTATATAAGAATTAACACAAAGAATTTAATCAGTTTAATCATTCCGAATCAAATTTTTACAAAAATTCTTATTATGACCTAAAAATCATAACCATCACTATTATGAGGTCAATTTCAGATTATCCTACTTCTAAGGCTTCCAATTACTTATCCAAACGTCACAATCGTAACTGATATTTCTCCTAATTGACATACATAAATCCATAATCATATGATTCACACAATTAAACTTAATTTCACATGAAATTTTTACATTAAAAATGCAAATGTACATAGTAAGGGACTAAAAGCATATCAGAAAACATATAAGAGGGTCGGGTTATTACACTCTTCCCCCCTTAAATCGGTTTGGTCCCTCAAACTTGTTTTACCTCATGATAGGAACAACTTCGGATATTAGTGCTGCATTTTGTCTTCTTTTTCCCAAGTAGCTTCGGTCTCGTAATGTTCCTGCCATTCAACTTTTGTGATTGGGATTTCTCGATTCTGTAGCTGCTTCACTTGCCGATCTAAAATCCGAATTGGCTTTTCATCATAGGTTAACTTATCATCCAAGGTGATTTGATGGTAATCTATAACATGAGACGGAACTGGAAGGTAACTTTGAAGCATCGACACATGAAATACATTATGTACTTGGCTCATGCTTGGTGGAAGAGCAACTCGGTACGCCACTGAACCCACTTTCTCCAGAACTTGGAATGGACCCACATATCGGGGCGTTAACTTACGCCTTTTTCCGAATCTGGGGTGGCCCTTCATCGGAGTGACCTTTACAAACACGTGGCTACCCATCTCAAATTCCAAATCTCTTCGTCGGTTATCCGCATAACTCTTTTGTCTGCTTTGAGCGGTTTTCAATCTTTCCCGAATAGTTTTAATCTTTTCAGTAGCCAACTGTACAATTTCAGGCCCCAACAATGATTTATCTCTGACTTCAGCCCAACACACGGGGGAGCGACATGGTCTTTCATATAAGGCTTCATAAGGTGCCATTCCAATACTTGAATGGAAACTATTATTTTATGCGAACTCTGCCAACGGTAAATGAGTTTCCCAACTCCCCTGAAAGTCCAGAATACACATTCGAAGCATGTCCTCTAAGGTTTGTATTGTCCTCTCGGATTGTCCATCTGTCTGAGGGTGAAAAGATGGCTAAACTTCAACTCTGTCCCCATAGCATTTTGTAAACTCTGCCAAAACCTCGACACAAATTTCGAATCCCTGTCTGATACAATTGAGACTAGAATACCATGAAGCCTTACAATTTCATTCACATAGATCGCAACACGTTTATCCGCGTTATACTGAGTCTTCATGGGTAAGAAATGGGCGGATTTAGTTAACCAGTCTATAATGACCCATATAGATTTCATGCCCCGAGAAGTCCGTGGTAAACCTACAATGAAGTCCATGGTCAAATGTTCCCACTTCCACTCCGGAATTGGAAGGGGTTGCAGCAACCCTGCCGGTTTCTGATGCTCTGCCTTTACTTATTGACACTACAAACATTTTGAGATGAATTTTGCAAATTCCCTTTTCATATTTGGCCACCAAAAATTTTACTTTAAACCTCAGTACATCTTAGTACTCCCAAGATGCATTGAAAATTTTGAGGCATGCGCTTCCTCCATCAGGTTTGTGGGAGCCGAATAAATAGAAGAGTCGGAAGGTGCGTACCCCAGAAATTAGATATTATTCGGCACTATATTGCATAACTAGGATGCCGAATACGTTAGGAAGGCCGAATAGTCGAAGATCAGTAGCTCCGAATAAATAAAAGGGGAATGGGATAAAAGTAGGCTCAGGCCCCGAGGCGCAAAAAGCAAGTATAAATACAAGAACCAAAGATTTAGAAAGGTATGTAAGAATCACTTCACCTAACTTAGTAAACAAGCTATCCTGAGTGTCTGAACTGACTTGTCCGTCGGAGTGCTAATTCTGGCACCCCCGACCGGAGTGTTTGTGTCTTTTCACGTGACTAGCTAAGGATCACTAGCATCTCCCAGGATCTGAAAAGTATTTCTAAACCACTTCTCTACAATTGGCGCCGTCTGTGGGAATACTCAAATACATCCGTGGCAAGCGTGACGGAAGATCCTCCGATAGCCACTGACGAGACCACACAAAGAGATGACCTCACTCCAGCAAACTCGCTTGGACCAATAACCATCGCTGCAAGACTTGCCTTAGACCTCTGCTCATCTTCAAACCCAACGCAAAAGACAATACAAGCGACCATGGCACAAGCTAGGCAAACCAAACAGAGGTTGGACAACATCATCGCTGAGAACGAACGCCTTCGTCGTGATCTGGCCTCGGAAATAGCAAAATCCAAACAAACAGTGCGCCAGGCTTCTGAGCGACCCCCGAGGGCAGATAATCGACGATCTCGAGCCCGACAGCAAGAAAATGACGGTCACTATGCCTCAACAGATCATCTTAAGGAGTTGGCAAAGGACGAACATCTCCAACAATGCGTCCGGAGGAATGCGATCAAAACACCTGCCTTTCCGAAGGATGCATTTCCACCTGACACCATCCACATGATATACAGCCTGCCAGCAGCCCGGCCGTACATGCGATCCAATCACATCCAAGCCCCCAACAGCAACTCACGCCAGCAAAGTGGCCTCGAGAAACGCCAAGTATCACCTTTGACGACTCTGATTTGATCGGCTTAACACTCCCTCACATTGATCCATTGGTTGTTGAGCTACGCGTAAACCGGTTCACCGTCGAACGCGTTCTTATCGACCAGGGCAGTACTTTGGAGGTTATGTATTATAAAACCTTCATCAAACTCGGATTCAACGAGTCAGACCTGAGTCCGGCTCCTTATCCACTATTCGGCTTCAATGCCAACCCAGAGTACCCATTGGGAAAGATCAACTCACCCGTCCGAGCAGGTTCCAGAACGGTGGATGTGGAATTCGTGGTCGTCAGGCTGCCATTGCCGTACAATCTCATCATGGGGCGATCGTGGTTGCATACCTTGCAAGCCGTCCCAAGCGCCTATCATTAACTGCTACGTTTCCCAACAGAACACGACATTGAGCAAATCCGCGGCTCCCAAAAATCGGCATAAGCATGTTATCTCCTTGCCACCAAAACGCCAAAGGAACTGCAAGTAAAATCCATTGAGGTGCCGAATCGGGAGATCCTTGATGACGTTGGGCGGCATCCAAATGAGAAGGGCACGGAAGGTTTAGACCGAGTTGACATCGTGGAAGCCCGGAAAAGTCTTCATGATCGGCGCTTCTCTGAATCAGGCCGACAGGCAGCAGCTGATCTCTTTCTTGCTCAACAACCTCGACGTCTTTGCGTGGACTCCATATGAAATGCCGGGAATAGACCCGTCAGTTTCACAGCACCATCTGAATGTCGATCCCAAATGTAAGCCAATCATTCAGAAAGGTCGGCGGTCAGCCGCGCAGCACACTGCAGCCGTTGTTGAGGAGGTAGATAGACTGCTTGACGCGGGGCAATTAGAGAAGTCACTTACCCTACGTGGCTCTCCAATACAGTGGTGGTGAAGAAGAAAAATGGGACTTGGCGAGTGTGCGTCGATTTCACGGATCTGAACAAAGCTTACCCCAAAGACTGTTTTCCTCTACCCAGAATCGACCAGCTTGTCGATGCGACGGCACGCCATCAACGCATGAGCTTCCTTGATGCTTACAGTGGCTATCATCAAATCGCCAAGCATCCAGATGACCAGGACAAAACTGCATTCCTCACCCCAAGAGGAACCTACTGCTACAAAGTTATGCCTTTTGGGCTGAAGAATGCTGGGGCAACCTACCAAAGACTGGTCACCGCCATGTTCAAAGAGCAACTCGGCCACACTATGGAAGTATACATCGACAATATGGTGGTCAAGTCCAATGAAGAACAGAATCATATAGCCGATCTAGAAAAGACATTCAGCATCTCACGCAAATACAGAATGAAACTGAACGCTTCCAAGTGTGCGTTCGGAATCGGCTTTGGAAAATTCCTGGGTTACATCGTCAATCACCGAGGAACTCAACTCCCCCCGTTCAGTAAAAGAAGTCCAAAAGTTGATGGGGATGGCCGCTGCACTCAACAGGTTCATTAGCCGGTCTACAGATCACTGTCGACAATTCTTTCAGACACTACGGCAGGGTAAGGCTTTTGAATGGTCCACTGAATGCGAAATAGCTTTCAACGGACTCAAGACCTACCTCTGCTCAGTACCTCTCTTGACAACACCCGCCGCTGGTGATACGCTCATTCTATATCTGGCAGTTTCTGATTGGGTCGTCAGCGCCGTACTGCTAAAAGAGAAGGAGGGGGAGCAACGGCCAGTGTATTATGTGAGCAAGGCTATGGTTGACGCTGAAACACGCTACCTTCCGCTGGAAAAACTCATCTTAGCCCTAGTCACGGCGGCAAGAAAACTGGTGCATTACTTCCAGGGACATAGCATTGGGGTGCTAACAGATTAACCCCTCCGATCAGTACTACGGAGTGCAGAAGCATCAGGACGTGTTTCAAAATGGGCTCTTGAACTCGGCCAATACAACATTCAGTTTTTACCTAAAATCGCAATCAAGGGGCAGGTGTTGGCCGACTTTGTTGCTGAATTCACCGGCAAGCTTGCCAACCTCGAACCTGACGAAGTGCGACCAAAGGCTGAAGTTCGACCAAAGCCGAATTGGAGAATATATGTCAGGGATATTTGGCAATTATACTGTGATGGATCGTCTAACCAAAGGGGCAGCACCGCCGGAGTTGTAATCATGTCTCCAGACGGCGCAGTAATTGAGCAGGCAGTCAAGCTTGGCTTCGAAGCATCAAATAACGAAGCCGAATGCGAAGCCCTTCTAGTCGGTCCGCGAAATGTGCACCTTCTCGGCGTTCGGCATCTGCTTGTGTTTTGTGATTCAAAATTGGTAATCAGTCAGCTAAAGGGGGAGTACGCGGCAAGAAACGACCGTATGGCGGCTTACATGAAAACGGCCAATTCCTTGCTAGAAAAATTTGACCATCACGAACTGAACCAAATAACACGCGACCAGAACACACAAGCGGATGCCTTGGCATGCCTAGCCTCCGCCATCAATTCTGAGATCAAACGGACCATCGAAGTAGGTTTCATCCCGGAGTCGAGTATTGGCCCTTCGGAGGAAATCCATGTCAACGTTATAGAATCCGCACCAAGCTGGATGGACCCCATTGCTGCATTCCTCTCTTCTGAACAACTCCTAGAGGACAAAAAAGAAACACACAAGCTGCGAAATAAAGCCCTGCGATATTATCTGGATCCGCAAGGAGGGCTTTATAAAAGTCCCTCTCTGGTCCATATTTGGAATGCGTGCACCCCGACAAAGTGGAGGAGCTTCTAACAGAGATACATGAGGGCAGTTGTGGTGCCCATTCTGGCGGACGCTCCCTGGCCCATCAAGCAATAACACAGGGGTATTATTGGCCGACAATGAGAGCGGACGCCA